CCCCCCCCCCAGAAAGTTTTCTACGGGCGCCCATGTACATAAACACAGTGTTTTCATCTTTGATCCTAAATTCTTTCATAAAAAGATAACTGGTGAAGCCCTAGAGCGCAGATCTGATGACAATGCAGAAGCATTGAAGAAACGCCTCGACGCCTACCACAAACAGACCAAACCGCTGGTGGACTACTACTCCAAGAGGGGACTTCACGCAGCCGTGGATGCCTCCCAGCCTCCCAATGTGGTCTTTGCAGCAATACAGTCCATCTTCTCTGCGGCAACTTCTAAGGATAAAATTATGTACATGCGAAATTGAAATGGTTGAGGATGTAATGTTAGTGGGTTTTTTTTTAATTTAAAAAAAAATGGTCTCTGGCATAAGCTAAATTTAAGACGTAAAAAAATTATATATTATTGGTCACACTTGAACTTACGTAGAGGCCATTATTTCAAATTATCTTGTGCTGTTTAACTCTTGAAAGGACAATATTTGTTTAAAAACTTGGAATGAAATCTATTTGTGTCAATGTGCTCAGTCATTTTAACCATATCCTCTCCATCACAGAGAGGTCAAAATTTGATACTCAGCTTAGTACTCGGTGATATGAGATATTTTAAAGCTTTGAGGGTTATGTGTATAGCCATATATAAAAACTATATATAAGTATAAATCATATAAATATATAGAGATAGATAACATTTTGAATGGACCAAGCATTCAAATAGCTGCAATGGAAAGTCAAGGTCTTTGAATTTTAGGTGTGCAAAGTCTGAAGTTGTGAAAGGAATCTTTCTCCTCCTCCTCCTGCCCCCCCACCCACCCAAGCAGTCCTCTAGGCATAACAAGGTAGTTTGCAGAAAATTGAACCTAGGCTGAACAAGACAGTTTGCCTAAAAGATCCAACCAGAGCTTTGAAAGAAAAGTTCTTGTAAAAAAAATTTTTTAAACATCTTGGCCCCCATAAGAATATTTTTTAGCCTTGGCTATTTTCTTTCTATATTACTTAGTGATTTTGCAGTGAGGTTTGCCTTTAGAAACTTAGAAATTAACCAAATTATTTAGCTTAGCGTGCTTCAACTACTGGTCCTACTAATCTGATTAGTTTATTGTTGATTGTAATGTGAACATTCCATGTCGTCTTCTGTTCCAAGTGGTGTTGATTAGAGCAATTACCTACTAACCGTAGGTATTTTGCTTTAGCAACCAGTGCAAGACAAGGTGAAAATTTAAGTTTAGAATATTCACCTTGGTATCTCAGGGGGGTGTCAGATTTCCCCCCCCCCCCTGTTTGTTCTGATTGTCATGTGACAGATGTCATCTCAGTGAGAGAAGTTTTAATGAAAAATAATAACATCAGCAAGTTTTGAATCATAAAAAAAACTGTCACTCAGGGGCATGTAATTGTTAAAACATCATGATGTCAATTTAGTCTGATCTTTCTTTGTAATGTTCATGTAACAATGATTCATGTTTGTACAAAAGGCAGTAAACAATAAAATGTATTTTATTTGATCTAAGTCACTTATTGTTTATTTAATGAATTACAGTTTTTGTGACCTACTATCTAAATATTACGGTTGTGGGGAGAGATATGTTTCTATCTATCTGGGAGAATGACTTCTACTTCTCCCTTTGTTTTTTACAGTCATGTCATTTGTTTTTGAATAAGTGAAGAATACTTGCATAGTTCAGGATTTGAGAGTTATTGTGTTGTAAGAACATCAGCCGCAGAGCAGAGATCTCTGTGTAAAGGAAAATAACTTTGGAAAAAAAAAGAGGATGCATTTTGATGTTTAAAAAAAAAACTGCAATAAATATCTGCTTGACATTACAGTCCAGAGGTCTGAATGGAGTATTCAGCACTGATCTTTTAAAGTTTTTTTTAGGGTGGACTAAGGTTTGGTAAGTGTCAATAGGGTGAAACACCTTGTCAGAATTAAGAAGGCTGGATGTAAGGATTGGTAAGTGTCATTAGGGTGAAACACCTTGGCAGAATTAAGTAGGCTGAATGTAAGGACTGGTAAATGTTACTAGGTTGAAACACCTTGTCACAATTAAGTAGGCTGGATGTAAGGACTGGTAAGTGTCATTAGGGTAAAACACCTTGGCATAATTAAAGAGGTAGGATGTAAGAACTGGTAAGTGTCATTAGGGTGAAAACCTTGGCAAAAATTAAATTGTTACGTACTGTAAGAATTGTCAAATATCAGAGGAAAACACTTGGGCGTGAAGTAAATTGGTCAATTCTCATCATATACCAACAGACTTGGTTGGCATACTAAGACAATCATAGGTATAAGTATTATTTATATTGTAACTTTAAAAAAAATTCGTTTCATTAGTATTTTTACAGAATTTTAAATTTTTGTTTAATATAGAAGGTGGGGGGTGGGTAGTGTATCTATATGTGTGCAACATGTTTGATTGTGAACATGTTAACTACCCAGGTATTTTCTAGGATAATTAACATCTCAAAACTTAGCACTGCCTTGCTCATGCCATATGTAAATTAGCCATATAAACCTGCCAGATAGACCTGCCTGATAAAACTGCCATACAGACCTGCCAGATAGACCTGCCAGATAAACCAGCCACATAGACCTGCCAGATAGACCTGTCAGCTATCGGACACGTAAATGATATACTCTATTTGAACATTGGATTATTTATGCCAGGGACCATTTAACTCGAGTTGTCCGTGTCCCATAAGTCACACCATTGCAAGCCCTTGCTTGGGAGCCACTTGTGTCTAAAGACATGCCATAAATTGGAACTTATATTAAATAAATACTTTTGCACACAAAAAAATATGTCTACGTACTTTTTGGCATAGAAAAATATGTTTGGCATTCTTTAAATCACCCAGTCTTGTTAATAACTTGTAACTTATGCTACAAGTATAAATAGGTGGGTCAGAGATCAGGAGACTGCCGAAACTATTCTAAACCCTTAAATAGCGAAGCTTATATATATATTCCTGACACAATGCCAGGTGCAATACATTTCTAAATAGTAATAGAATAAAGCGACCAACGAGTTTGTACAATGTTTATGCCAGTTCCTTATACAAAGTTAGCTCCTTGCCTATGTCCCAGGGAGCTAAATGCTGAAAGAAATTAATATTTCCATTTTAAAAAAAACAAAAATCGGATTTGAAGACAAAATACCACGAAGACTTTAACCTGATTAAAATCTCAGACTAAACCAATTTGTCTTCGGCCTAGTTTTTTACTAGATACATTTATACATAAATCTATAGTTTACTAGATACATTTATACATAAATCTATAGTTTACTAGATACATTTATACATAAATCTATAGTTTAAAAATCTTCGGCACATGCTTACAATCACCATATATTATTTCCAGGGGCGTTTACACGGGGGGTGGAGGGAAGTGGAAGCAGTTGATTGCAATCAAATTTTTTTAGGGGTGGGGAGGGGTGGGGCTAATTTGTTAGGAGGAGAAATGTATTAGAAAAAACTAGAATACATATTAATTTTCTGGCATGGAATGACACACCCTTAGACCGCACAGCCATCCAGATGACCGATAAAATTTGGAATTTTAAGAATAACAAGTAGAATAAAAATGAATATACCTACTATAAGTCATTGGGTTGAATAATTAATCACTGGATTTGATAATTTGATTTCTTAAATTGAATAAAAAATGTAAAGAATTAGTTGAGCTGTTAGCGAATGTGTATCATTTGTTGTCAGTTTTATTATTGAATAGTTAACAATGTTTAAGAATTTTGTTAACTGTGAAGTTTTACATAGCAAATATTCACAGTGAGCCACCGAATTAAATATCAACACCATGACTGGTAAGTCCCACACACATAATTTAACCTAGGCCTGGAGTTTGGTGGGGGGGGGGGGTTGGCTTTCATCACTCGGGGGAGGGGGGAGATAGACGCCCTGCATATATCACTCCTAAAGAATAAAGAAGACAAGCACTGATATTCCATGTTACTTTACTATGTCTGTGAATGAATGAACATCTTCTGCTCTCTTACAGTTTAATGGAGTTTAGTTAAAACGTGACCTTTAAGGTTTGCGTTCAATGGTCCCTGAGCCTGATGGATCACCACCGAGCATCCACATCCCCCTCGATGGTCTCTGAGCCTGATGGATCACCATCCAGCATCCACATGCCCCTTGATGGTCCCTTGAGCCTGATGGATCACCACCCAGCATCCACATGCCCCTCGATGGTCCCTGAGCCTGATGGATCACCATCCAGTATCCACATGTCCCTCACGAAGCGCAGTCCGAAGCGTCTCGGGTCACATCTTCCATTTGCGCCATGGCGGATTGCACATTAGTTATCCACACTCGAATCCACTGTTCTCTCTCCTCGTCCATGAGATCGTTGTCGCGGATGTACTTATCCACGTTGCAGTACGCGTCACTCACATTGACGTCACGCCAGGTTTTCCACGTCACTGACGTCACGGGGCGCACGGGATGCTGGTCGGATGTGGCGTCATTCTCTAAGTTCGTGTAGATATCTCTATCAACGACTGACCCAAACACCCCATCTCCCATTGGCGTATCAGCAAGAGGGTTTTGTGTGTCTGTTAACGAGATGTGCTGGGACGACTCGATGTCATCACCAACTGGGGTAGCCTTTGGGCCACTCTCAACACAACTTGTTTCAATGATTTTCGTGATCTCTGTCCCAGAGTGAGGTAGTGAATTGGGCGTCGGCTCGTGGAAACCGTTTCCGCTTCCGGTTTCTAATTTTAACCGCGTCAGTTTTTCCATGAATTGATCTTCGTGCCATTTGCGAAACTGTTCAATCTTTGAGCGAATCGAAAACGGCTCCGCAAAAGACTTCATTTTCTCGCCATTTTTGACAGCCGGACTTCTAGTTTCTTTCAACTGGCAATGCGGAGTAACTCTGCCCAGTGGGGGAGATATCCTGATTCTGTCCCTTGACGGAGACAGATGCACAGAATTATCCTCTGCTAAAAATTTCATGACTTTCTGCTTCGGCTTGTGTTTAGAGAGGTCTGGGAACGATCTGTTCCACTCCGAACGCTTACTCCTCTCTGGCGACCACGCGATCCTGTTTCTGACGTCACGCCAGTCGAATGTCGTCGGGGGCGAGTTATGGCCCGTGTGTCCCAGAAAGCTGCGGGGCGAAACGGGGTTGGGTATGGTGAGCCCAAAGGCGTCTCGTGTCAAACTCGGGCCGCCCTGGAGTTTTGAGGACGCCTTCGGACCGGCCGCCTCACTCTGCCGAGGCGTTCGGAACGTTGAGTGGTGGTGTCTCACGTGGCCGTTGGTGGGCCCGTGGCCCCTTGGCGAGTCCGGTTTCGTTTTGACAGTCTGCCCGGTGTCCGGCGGGTGGCCGGAGAGTCTGGAGATGGGAGGCAGTATGGACTCGTCCAGATCATCGGGCCCATCTCTTGCTGGACGTTTCCGGTCTAATGACAAAGTCAATGATTTCCGCCACTGCAAATGGGGAAAAAAAAATGAAAACGGTTATGGGCTGGTAGTGGAAAACGGTTATGGGCTGGTAGTGGTAGAATATGTCATTACTGAAACACAGAATTGGTTAATTTTAGATTAGATAAAACTAAAAACATAACGACATAAGTTTTAAAAGCCTAATGTATGCAGACTATATTAATAAAAAAAAAATAAACAACGTTTGCCCACCCTTCAGTTGATCGATCTCCGTCAATCGGACAGTGGGAGACAAAAAGAGCACAGTGCGATTTAGAACACTTTATTCATTGTGATTTGACACAATTTATTCAGCATCATCTGTTCACATCATTATTTATTCCCAGCCTCCTCCCTTCAAAAAAAAAAAAAAAAAAAAAAAAAAAAAAAAAGAAACTTTTTAAACTGCCTTTAATACGATTTTTTGGGTGTTTTAACATCTTGGCGTGGAAGTAAGACTTGAACACAAAATACAGATTTAACGCTTACCCCCGGCCCCTCAAAAAAATGTATTTAAAAAAATTAAATAAAAAAAATTAAATCAAATTGCTTTATTTTCTGTGTGTGAAAAGAAAGTGTTGTAAGTAAGTGTTGGCTGAGCTTCTTTGAAGTTGTTTTCCATCATTTTTTTAAATATCTGTACTGAGATATCTGATTTGTGCCTCGCCTTTCATTAGTAATTTGAACTTTGAACCCTAAACTCACTTAGGAATAAGTTGGTAACAATACACACACACTATTGACCGTCTAGTGAAGCCATTAAAACAACGAATGAACTATTCAGCCCCGTCCTGCCGAACACGTTTGATTTAAATAAGGTGTAGCTCCCTTGTTCAGCATGGCGGCTGAACTTTCACGGTAAACATTAATGATTGATTGTTTTTCAGCTTTCCCTACATCAGCTCCAATTTTTCAGATACTGTGCGAATCTCATTTCCAGTCATGAAGCATTATGATAATTATTTGAAGAAAAGTTTGCAAACTGAAATGTACTTATTGTACAGGCCTACCTAAAGAACAGATTGGTTGAAAAGTTTAGATTATTATTCTACACAACTTAAGCTCCTTTTATCAGAGTTGTCGATGTAGGATCTTTCAGAACAATAACGGACTCGATTCCAAGAAAAAAAAAATCACCATCACGAGTACATTTTGTGATGATGAGATCTTGCACTTCACTCTCAAGGCTCTGTGAACAGCAATCAAAGTGAAGGTAGTGTGGTTGTTCACAACATCAATACACGAAGGACGGCTCCTTAAGTGTCAATCATCGATGCTTTGAAATCTGAGGGGGGGGGGTCATTTTTGTGTTTTCTGATCTGTTGACCATTGATCTGTTGACCATTGATCTGTTGACCATTGATCTGTTGACCATTGATCTGTTGACCATTGATCTGTTGACCATTGATCTGTTGACCATTGATCTGTTGACCATTGATCTGTTGACCATTAACATTTACAGCTTTCCGTTCCTCTGCAATGAAGTCGTATTTGATTGTTTTTTTTTATTTAAAAAAATTTTAAAAAGCATTTATCAACTATTTTATCATTATATATATATTTGTGGTAGATCGAGTCTGACCTGTGTTACTAAAGTTTTATTGATTACATTTTTTTACACGGACCATGTTTCCTTGACTGCTATATTTCCTCAACTCTACACTAATCACCTAAATTTTTAAAATAGTCATTTATCTCCTCAAAGACTAAATAGATTGTCTTGTGTTCATCTTTCATCCTGGTGGATTGACAGTTCAGAAAATAACCATATTTATTACATGTTACCCCAAAAAAATAATTAAAAAATAATTATTTCAAATTATACCAGAAGGTCCGAAATTGTATGAACTGCCCAGTATATAATTGATAAATATAGTTTTATCGGCACCTAGTATATACTGGTATATATTTTCTTACGGGCACCCAATATATATATTTCTATGCGCCACGGATATTCTAAGAGTTTTTAGGTCCATAGTTTTAAAAAAAAAAATGTTATGATCAATGCGTCCTTAAAAAGTGATCTTTTGTCCGTAAAGGTTTTAAGGCTTTAAAAATATTAGGCAGTGAATTGTATTGTATCTCTAGCTGGTACGCAATGTGGAAGAAAAGCCACACAACAAACACATGTACCGAGAGATGTATCCCACCAGAATGACAAAACGAACACCACGGGTGGGGGGGGGTGCATCCACTCTGAGCAGATTATTTAATAGGCATCGCATTCTAGAAGTTTGAATGCGACCACCACCCTTACCTCGTTTCTCCTCTGCACTCCGTTACTCCCACTGGCTGCGACGCCCTCAGTCTCCGTGACGTGGCCCTGGAGTTGTGCCCTGGGACTGGTGGGGACAGTTCGTTGGTTTCTCAGCGACGAACTCACATCCATTTACTATCATTTATTTGTTAGTCGTCCAGCCAACGTCCTCCCTAAAAGCCATCCTTGTCCGGCCCACTGTTGGCCGTGGAAATGATTTCTTAACCTTACGGGCCCATTAAGAGAACGTGCGCATCACAGGCCGTGTCTTGGTCACTTCTATACAACGCCACTCACTTGTCAGGAAAGCACGCGGATGAACAGCCCCGTGTGGAACGTCACCACGGAACACCCAAACTAACTTGGCTCAGATCAAGAAGAAGGACCTAGAGGATAGAAACCTCGATGGCGGAGAAGCTTCCTTGGCCGTTGCTTCAAGCACCAGTAGACAACTCAAGCATCGGACTGGATTCTAAAGTTGTTGTTGCGCTTATACTTATACATTGTTTATGGTCCGCTTTTTCTGTTTGAGGACCACTGATCTAATCACGGCACTTCCTGTCAGTAATGTTATTCATTTTTTTTTCTGTCGTTGATATCCAATAATGTCCTCAGAAAAGCTCGGCCGACGTCCAGTTGTTCTGCATGCGTTGACCTATATGTCGTCCAGGAAGAAACATTTCTGATCACCCGCTGAAGGTCTACAGCTTATATCAAATACATTTAGTACCAGAACTGTTGAATGTCGTCTATCGCCTTGTGGTCTTATATCAAGTTCATTTAGTACCAGAGCTGTTGAATGTCGTCTATCACCTTGTAGTCTGTCTTAGACGGTCACGACTCCCTGTAGATGATATAAAACATTGTTACTTGGTCCACACCCTACAAAGTATTTCTGTACACGTGAAATACGATAGCTCGTCACGCACCACTGAAGCCTTTATGTTGTATTTGTTAACATTTTGTAACATAGGCCTAAACTTTATTTACATTTTAAAAATCTCAAATCGGTGATTTTAAAGCTATGTCTTAAAACATATGACAGATGAGTTCCTTCTTGGCAGCTCAATTTTACTCCGACTCCTGGTGTGGATTCCTGCCCTGGAACCTGGTAAGAATTCCAACTTATGAAGTCACGTGGGATTCTAAATATGTCTCAAAACGATCACTCCCATTTCTTTGTTTACCGGGCCATTCTTGTTTGAAGGGAAAATTACCTGTATGATTGTTTATCATAGCCTACACGTACACCATAGTCAAACCTCTAGAAATAAGTCAACAACTCAGCCATAAAGAGAGTATCTTAAGAGTAATAAATTCAAAAACTTACGGTTCGATTTTAAAAAAATTTTCTTCTAAAGTTAAGCAATCCCAGTACACTATATTCAACAGTCGTTTGACTCTGCTATTCAAAATGAATTTGGGAAAAAAAAATCCAGCGAGCTTTCAATGAATGACAAACACCAAACGGTCGCGCTGCATTATCGTCTGGTCACTCGCGGCAAACACAACTGCTGGCAACTTTGAGCCCGTTGAACGATGACAGGAAATCTTCGGTGCCTCGGTCGCGGTCTACGTTAGTTAGCAGGCCGTGCACTGGCTTATCAGGTGTATCCCAGAGTAGATTTTGTTACCGCGGGGGGGGGGCCCTGAACAAACAAGGAAACAGCCTTAAAACCAAAAGTTTCACTAGCGCGCGTCGTGGCTTTACCACGGGGGCTTATGGTGTTGGGTAACTCGACTTGAGACGAGTGACTTGCAATCAGTGCCACCACCGGCTTCTACTTTCATCGTGCGTCGAAGGGTCTATGGGTTTGTTGTGACTGTGTCGAATCTTTAAAAAATGAAAGTTTGTATAAAAGCAAATCGCCTGTTGAGGTTTTTTTGGTGGTGGTGGTGGTGGGGTGGGGGGGGGCGACCAACTAAACTGACTAAATGGTTCTCTTCGTTTTCTGGTTGATGAATACCCTCCCACCCCCACTCCGACTCCCACCCCAACTCCGACTCCCACCCCAACTCCGACTCCCACTCCCACCCCCACCCCCACTCCCACCCCCCCCCCCCCCCCCCCCCCCCCCCCC